AAGAAGAAGAAGAAGAAGAAGAAGAAGAAGAAGAAGAAGAAGAAGAAGAAGAAGAAGAAAAAGAAGGAGAAGGAGAAGGAGGAGGAGGAGGAGGAGGAGGAGGAGGAGGAGAAAAAGAAGAAGAAAAAGAAGAAGAAGAAAAAGAAGAAGAAAAAGAAGAAGAAGAAGAAGAAGGAGAAGGAGAAGAAGAAGAAGAAGAAGAAGAAGCCTTTTACAGAAAACACTTTTTGGGCTGTTTATTTGTTTTCCCGATTGATATTCGTTACATAATTTTTTCTTTTTAAAACTCTTTACAACAGTCTTTGTTCTGTTCTAGCAATTTGAATCCCGTGCCTTCTTGTTACCAAGAGGTCATTTACACAAAGCTTTCAATTTTGTTATCTTTGGTAAGCAGGCCGCAGGTAGTGTGGAAGAAGACCGCCAACTAAATGTACATTAGAGCGTAACACCTTTCAAGCCTGTTTCTTGAGATAAGCCAAAGCTGGCAAAGAAACCAAAGAGGCTTTTGTTTACCTTTGGATTAGTGCTACTACCTGCTCATGCGTGACGGACCGCAAAAGGTTTTCTGTATCAGTGATCAGACTTATCAGTACGACGTACGCTTCTTACTAACCACCAGTGTCTGCACGTCTACCTACGTACCTATGTACCTACCTACCTACCTACCTACCTACCTACCTACCTACCTACCTACTAACCGACCGACCGACCGATCTACCTACCTACCTACCCACCTACCTGCGCCTGCCTGCCTGCCTGCCTGTCTGCCTGCCTGATTGGGTACTTACCTACCTCTCTACCTACCTCTCTCCCTACCTACCTACCTAACTACCCACCCACCTACCCGCGCCTGCCTGCCTGCCTGCCTTGCTACTTACCTACCTATCAAGCTGCCCATCCTTTTATCTACCACTCTACCTACCTACCTACCTACCTACTCACCTACCTACCTACCTACCTACCTATCTAATTATTTATAAAAACGATTAAAGTATATGGTTGGATTCCAAGGCATGGTTTTAGCGTCAAGTTCAACACTGTAAGATAAGAATTGTTTCTATGTGGGAAAGATAGGCCAATCCAATTAGGAGGCGAGTCTTGAAAACTCCTTTGGCAACCCATGTTGAAGAACGTCCGTTGATAATTGAACGCCATAGCCCAGCCTGATGTCAACCGAGCTAACAGTGTGCCCATATCATGATTGTGTATACTGCTTCGACTTTAATTAAGAATCTACGACGATAACAACAACAACAACAACAACAACAACAACACAGCAGCAGCAGCAGCAGCAGCAGCAGCAGCAGCAACAACAATAACAACGACAATGATAACAATCATCACCATATTCTACAACCCGACCACGATCACCATCACTACCACCACTACTTGTAGCATCTGAGGGGAGTTCTGGAGAGATTTTCTCACCGACATTTTGGCGATGCTGCCATATCAGGAGGGCTCCGCCTCGCGATTTTAAGAGATAGATGACGTCAGTGCATATAGGGAAATCCCGAAAGGATGTCAAAGAAGGTACAAGGTAATTAGGTGGACTTGCTGATGAAAGGGCAGGACGGAAGTGCAGTACATGAAAGTGTGCTCTGGTCTGTTTGTTTGTTGCTTTTTTATTTTGTTGTTGCTTTTTTCTTTTTTAAAGGGTTGACCAATGTGTTTTGCCTTTCTGTTCACAGGGACGTTAAATGGGTGTGGGAAAAGGCAGATGGGCAGTCACAGGTGCTGTCCGTGTGTGTTCATGGAAAGTCTAACAACTCCTGTAGCCTAACCGAATCGCAAGTTGTGACTACAGTCACCTCCAAAACCTCGCAGGGTTTACACAGTAGAATGGAGGTTCAAACTCTGTCCCGTTTAGACCACCACTCTCGATTGTCGTGTGGAGTGATGAGCGTCGCCGGAAGACGAGATGAGTTCAAGTTTCTCACGGTCTTCCACACCTGTGAGGTCAGCGTGTTCGTTAAACCCCGGGACCCCAAATGTGAGTCTCACTTGCTCTCCGACAACATTATCCAGGTGGACTGCTCGGCCCAAGACGTGTTTCCCGCCCTCCTCTGTGATATGATCCAGATCGAGGAGCAGATGAATCGGCGGATGAAAATTCCTGGGGGAAAGGTTCACTACACCACGAGGGTGGCAGGCACAGGCTACAGACAGACACCTCCTCAGATCAAGCCGACGTGCTCCGCGCGTCTGTTCCGGCCAGTGAAGGGTTACTACAGGTACTTTGTCGTGATGTATCCTAGGGTTCGAACCATCAACCGTCGAGAAATGTCCGTACCAGTGCAACCGACAGCTGTCAATATAAGTAGGTCTGTAGTGCACGTCTCGTTGTCCCTCGTCGATTCTCCTGTAGACATCTGCCCTGAAGAGGGTAGCGTTATCACGCCTCGGTGCGAAGCCACTGGATTCGAATCCAAGCCTTATTTCCGGTGGACTGTCTTCGGGAAAGAGATCAATTCTTCTGACGTCTGGTCAGTAGAAGACCCGACCGGACACCCGTACATGTTCATATCCACACACAAGATCAGAGTCAGGCCCGAGCATCAAGGTATACTCATCTCTTGCTCTGCTGTACCGTCGAATTGGCAGGAGGTGAGAGACGATGACATCACAGACTCCTTGTCGCTTCAGCTGCGATGGCCGCCTTCTCGTCAGCCAGAATTCTTCTTTGTAAATGGAGGAGAGAAATTGCCCAAGAAGATAACTCTCGTGCAGAACTCAACGGCGCTGAGTCTCCAGTGCTCTGTACCCGCTGGAGGGACGCCGGACGTGCAGGAGACGACCGTGAGCTGCACGCGCACCGATCTCAACTTACTAACATCTTCACGGGACTCTGAAAATGGCGGCAATGTCATCCTACGCGAGTCAGCCGTGGGAGCGAGCGCCAATTTCACGCTGGACACGAAAGACAAAGGAGCATTTTCGTGTGTATGTTCGGCCAAGCATGCGACTCGCTGCTACCACGGGCAGGTGGATCTTGACGTCACCGTCGTCTCGACTGATTTCCTCGGTCAATTTTCAAGCAGAGAAGGTGGTCCCGGGGACTGGAAACTTCCGGTGATAGTCTCCCTTTTCGTGACCGTGGCTGGGCTAGCCTGCTGTTTCGTTGTCATCGCGTGCCGTAAACTGTACAACCGTACCCTCTACCTTCATGATACGCTTTACTGGAAGTCTAGTGGTAATGACGAATTGGGCGGTGAGAATAAGATAAATTCGAACAAAGTCCTAGCTGTGAAATTAGAATCAGAAGATGGCTATATTGAGCCTATAGACGTTATGCCTACCCAACAATATAGAGAAAGTAGTGACAACCATTATGACGAGATAGACACTGGATCAGATGACAGCACATCAGATAAGGGAATCATCGAAAACCGTAATATGGTGGTTTCTGATAACCCTTTTTATGCTACACATCGCTCATTGAAGACTCCAATGGCTTTTCATTGTACTCATATCCAAAAAGAAGCTGACTCCTTTTTTAATACGTTTCTAGACCAGACATAGACAATGCCAAGAACGACTGCGCTTAGCAAAAGAGGTTTTTAAGTCTCGGAACATCAGCTGGTCTATAACGATGAGTGACTGTATAAAAACAGGTGGGGATCAAGGGCTGAGAAGGGCCTCATTTAAAAGATGAGAAACACCCAAGCGTCTCCCAGTCTAGCCAACCGCACCTACCCGTGATGATCCCTGTTTGCACTGACGAGGCTCTGGCAAATGGCAAATCGTTGGCGCCAACAAACCAAACCCCCTTTGCCAGGAGGGGTAAAAACAACTGGCTGGGAATAGGTGTGACCTCACAAGGTGCGGAGGGCAGAACGCTATGCCCCCACCAACACACTCTCACTCTCCCTTGAGTGAGTGTCCTCCTCTACTACCCTCACCTACTTCTTCTACACACCCCCTGTTGTTGGCTTGTGCTCTACCTCCAATCAAGTGCATCTCCAAGGATCCTTCTGGTCCTAGACGGTCATAATCGCCTAGTTCTGGTCACTGCAATGATGAATACTCCACTGGGTGGGATAGGCCGCGGGGACATGGCATGCCCAAACATGGACGTCTACGCACCGACACAAAGGATCCAGGACGTGACAACAGTGGCGGCGCACCATTGATTCAATTGGTGCAAGCGCTCCACCTAACCCTGGCCTTCACACCCCCCCCCCTCCTTTTTCTAATTGTTCTAAACCAGTCAGTGCTCTAGATCTACATTACTACATCCTTGCAATCCGTCACCCGCTGGCTGCGCCAGTTAAGAGACAGAGAGCGAGGATGGGTTATGCTCGTGGCACCGCTTGCGGTAGTGTCTGCTAGGAGCAAACAAAATCTTTGCACCAAAGTTATTTTTGTCACTGTAGAGAAATCTAGGCTAATTTCTTCCCGCACAAGGAGAAAGTTGCATGAAACTCCTCTTCGCAGCACCAATTTGATCCAAGTTTCCGCTAGAGCCTAGCCTATCTACTACACTAGAGTCTACGGTAACTCAATGAAGAATGGGTATCGAAACTGTTGTCTCCCTATATTGTGTAGCAAGTCCTGTTAAGGCATGTCACGGGTCTGGCAAACCCGATGTTTGGGTTAAAAAAAATCGATTTTTAACTTTCTCCATTTTTGGGTACCTGAATATCTAAAAAATCAATAACGCTTGATGTTTCATTATAAAAAAGTCAAGAACTCTCATTTAGAGGCTTTTTCCAGAGGGCGCCCTTGCCCTTGTCAAAAGTTGGCGCGTTTTCTTCAGATTAGCCCATAATTTGACAGTGACAACTACCGTGTGCCCCCGTATGACCCTATCATGTTTAGTATTGTTGTTCTCCCAAGCTCTTCTCTTTTCAAATCCCTAAACGATCAAGACGATCAAGATCTCTGTATTTTTGGCAGTTGAGCAACCATGTGCAGAACGGAGGACTCCTCTTCTTGCAAATTTTGGGTCGTCTTTGACAAAACGAATTCCCGTTGCTAAAAATAATAATATGACGTCAATACTCCGTTGCAGAATGTCGCGCCACATGTAACCTCCAACAATATATATTTTACGAACACCACTGTTTCTTCTTTCAATTCGACAGCCGTTTGACTCTTTTTATCCATCACTCCTTTCACAGATAGAACCATGTGATTCGGTTTTGTATTTGACGAGATTTAGTTCTGTTTCTGACCCCTCTTGATTTTTGTGTAGGCCACAAAGCAAGTAATCTGAGTTTCTGTCTTTGAAGGTGCAGGCTAATGTGTGGTACGATCTTAGAAGTAGTTTTCACTCTCATAATCACATTTTATTTCACGTTTATTCCCCGTGTTTTTCCTTACAGTTGCCATGTTGTGTGTCATTGTTTTGCAAGGAGTGATGGATAAAAGGAGTGAGAGAGAAAAGGAGAGAGAGAGAGAGAGAGAGA